ATTAGATATATATATAATATATATATATATAAATTTATATAGTATATATATATATTTTTTTTTTTTTTATTATCCCACCGGCCCCCGATTCCACCAAGGCAGGGTGGGCCCGAAAAAGAAAAACTTTCATCCATCATTCGACTCCATCACTGACTTGCCAGAAGGGTGCATTACACTACAGTTTTAAACCGCAAAAACATAACACCCCCTCCTTCAGAGTGCAGGCACTGTACTTCCGCATCCTCCAGGACTCAAAGTCCGGCCTGTGCCGGTTTCCCTGAAATCCCGTGCATCAATGTTTACTTTGCTCACACTCCCATACAGCAACGACAAGGTATTATAAACCATTTGTCCTCCATTCACTCCAATCAAACATACGCTCCGCATGCTCCTGTGGGAAGACCAAGCCCCTCGACACAAAACCTCCCATTACCACCCCTCCCTCCAACCCTTTCCTAGGCCGACCCCTACCCCGCTTCATTCCACTACAACGATACAACTCTGAAGTCATTCTGTTTCGCTCCATTCTCTCTACATGTCCGAACCACCTCAACAATCACCTTCCTCAGGGCCCCTCAGGACAACAGTTTTGGTAATCCCGCACCTCCATCCTAACTTCCTCCAAACTAACCTACGAATTCTCTTGCATTAATTCACACCACACTTGCCCTCCAGACATGACATCTCCACTGCCTCCAGCCTTCCTCCTCGCTTGCAACATTCATCACCCACGCTTCACACCCATATAAGAGCGTAGTAAAAAACTATACTCTCAACATTCCGCACTTTGCCTCCAAGGACAAAGTTCTTTGGTCTCCACATACCCTAAGTGCACCACTCACTTCTTTTTCCTCATCAATTCTATGCTTCCACCTCATCTTACATAGACCCATCCGCTGACACGTTCCCGGTCCCAAATGATCTGAATACGTTCACCTCCTCCATACTCTCTCCCTCCCATCTGATATTCATCTTTCATCACCTAATCTTTTTGTATTATCCTCATAACCTTACTCTTTCTGTATTCACCTTTAATTTCTTCTTTGCACACCCTACCAAATTCATCCACCAATCTCTGCAACTTCTCTTCATAATCTCCCAAGAAGCACAGTGTCAATCAGCAAAGAGCACTGTGACAACTCCCACTTTGTGTGTATCTTTAATCTTTAACTCAATCCTCTTTCCAAGACCCTCGCATTTACTTTCTCTTACAACCCCATCTATAAATATAATTAAACAACCGGTACGATCACACATCCTTGTCTAAGGCCTACTTTTACTTGGAAAAAATTTCCCTCTTTCCTACATACTCTAACTAACTTGAGCCTCACTATCCTCGTAAAAACACTTCACACTGCTTCAGTAACCTACTCCTACAACCATACACATGCAAAACCACTGCACATTGCCCCCCTATCCACCCTGTCAATAAATACGCCTTTTCCAAAATCCATAAATGCCACAGAATGACCTCTTTAGCCTTATCTAAATACTGTTCACGTTTATTTGTTTTCACTGTAAACGACCTGGTCCACACACCCGCCCCCTAACCTATCCAAAGCCTCCTTGTTCGCTGCTATCCTATTCTCCGTCATACTCGTAATTCTTTCAATTATAACTCTACCATACACTTTACCAGGTACACTCAACAAGACTTATCCCCCTATAATTTTTGCACTCTCTTTTATATCCCCTTTGCCCTTTATACAAAGGACTATGCATGCTCTCTGCCAATCCGAGGTACCTTACCCTCTTCCATACATTATTAATATGTGCACCAACCACTCCAAAACTATCTCCCCCACCTCTTTTAACATTCTATCTTTATCCCATCAATCCCGCTGCCTTTACCCCTTTCATGTTTACTACTGCCTCACGAACTTCCCCCCACACACACAACTGGCTCTTCCTCCCACTTCCTACAGAGTTATTCCTCCTTTGCCCTATACAACGAAATCACAGCTTCCCTATCTTCATCAACATTTAACAAATTCCTCAAAAAATTCCTTCCCATCTTCCCAAATACCTCTAACTCTCCATTTAATAACTCTCCGCTCCCGATTGTTAACTGACAAATCCATTGTTCTCTCGGGTTCCCTTAACTGTTAATCTCACTCCAAAACTTTTTCTTATGTTCAACAAAATTTGTTGATAACATCCTCACCCACTACTCTCATTTTGCTCTCTTTTTACATTGCTTCAACCCACTCTCTTAACATCTGCTCTTTTCTCCATATACTCTTCCCCTTCCCTCCTTGCATCACTTCTACTTTGTAAAAAACTTATCATATGTCAAACTTTTTCTTCCCTTACTACTCTCTTAACATCATCATTTGTTCCACCAAACGCTTCCTCTTCCCTCCTGCACTCCACTTTCCTGATTAACCAACAACCTTCTGCGAACACTCTAACACTACATTTTTAAAACCACCCCATAACCTGGCTTCGACTCCCAATTGCCTATGCTCTCAATAGCCCATCTATGCCTCCAATAGCTGTTTATCTCTTACCCTAACTGGCCTCCTCTTTAGTTTTATAAACTTCACCTCGTCTCTTCCGGATGCTCTATACACCTTGTATCCCATCTACCTTTTTACTCTCAGTGTAGCTACAACTAAAAGTGATCTGTAATATCGTGGCCCCCTCCTAAAAACATGTACAATCCCTGAGAGTCTACCTCAACAGTCCTTTTATCTACCATACATAATCCAACAAACTACTGTCATTTCGCGCCAACATCATTAATCGTGTATCCTTAGTTTATCCTCCTTTTTCTTAAAATATGTATTACCTAAAACTAAACCGCCTTTCTATTACAAAGTTCAATCAAAGGGCTCCCATTATCATTTACACCTGCACCAGGTCCAAACTTACCTACCCACCCCTCTAAAAGTTTTCTTCCTACTTTAGCATTCCAAGTCCCCACACAATTTACTCTCTCACTTGGTTCAAGAGGCTCCTATACATTCACATAACACTCCCAAAATCTCTCTCTTCTCCCTGCATCCCTCTTTCTCCAGGTGCATACACACTTATTATGACCCACTTCTTTCTCTCGCATCAACCTTTACTTTTAATCCACATAATTTCTTGAATTTACACATTCATATTCTCTTTTCTCCTTCCAAACTGATCATTTAACATTACATGCTACCCCTTCCTTTGCTCAAACTCTCTCAGATACTCCAGAATTAATCCCATTTATTCCCCCCACTGAAACTCTCCTACCCCTTCAGCTTTGTTTTCGCTTAGGGCCAGGACATCCAACTTCTTTTCATTCATAACATCAGCAATCATCTGTTTTCTTGTCATCCGCACTACATCCACGCACATTAAGCAAACCAGTATTATAGAAGTATTTCTTCTTCTCTTTTTTTAGTAATAGTATAAGGGAGAAAGGGTTACTAGCCCCTTGCTACCCGCATATTAGTCGCGCTCATAACGACACCATGGCTTACGGAGGAAAGATTTCTGTTCCACTTCCCCCATGGTACAATAGAAGAAATAAAAAAGAACAAGAGCTATTTAGAAAAAGGAGAAAAACCTAGATGTATGTATATAATATATGTCATGTGCGTGGTCTGTGAATGTGACCAAAGTGTAAGTAGGAGTAGCTAGATATCCCAGGTTATCTTAGCGTGTTTATGAGACAGAAAAAGAAACCAGCAATCCTACCATCATGCAAAACAGTTACAGGTTTTTGTTTCACCATTCCATCTGCAGGAATGGTATACTGCCCCTGGGTGGTTCCTGCTACCAACCTACTACAATATATATATAGTGTGTATATATATATATATATATATGTATGTATGATATGTATTATTATGTATGTATGTAAGAAGGTATGTATGTATGTATTATAACTGAAGAAATATAATTCATATCACATGGGAAAGAATAGTGATCTTTTGGCATTGAATGACCCCTTAAGAGAGGTTCTTTAGTGCTGGTGAGGGGCTCTTGATCTAAGTAACTGAATCAATGCTCCAATCCCTTGAATCAAACCTGAATGCCTTCCATTACCACGGGTGTAGCATCCCCCCATGAATGTAATAATAATAAGGCATTAATTGAAGTAAATGTCATTGTGTAACAAATCAATTACCATCATCAGGATTCATTTCTGGAACATAAAACACCGTACAAACCATAATAAGTCACTAAAAATACAATAAAATATTATCCCAAGCTACACAGAAGAAATTTACATCTTATCTGAATTAGAAGGTCACTCTCCAAGACACATCACAACATTGAATATAAACAGAAAACTTATTAAAATAGGGTAAACTGTGATAAATTCAAAGTAAACACTGAATCCTTACCATCGAGTCCAGGTTTAAGTTGTTTAATAATAACAATAATAATAATAATAAAATAATAATAATAATAAATAATAATAATAATAGATAATAATAAAATAATAATATAAATAAAATAATAATAAATAATAAGAAAAATATCTTATTTCTACTAGGTAGTCATGTACATACAGGCCTAACTGACATACTACACTACTACATAGAAAACCGCTTTGTGCAGAGCATTTCGACGTGCAAATTAAGTTCAGTTTTGTCCCAGGATCGAACCCGACACAGTCGATTAACGATCAGGACCCATTATATGATGGGTGAACATGGAATACCAGTGTAAGGAAACACGCCCAAATGTTTCCATACCCCATCTAAATTCTTAAAATCCTAAGATTCTGATACCTTAACTATATAATATTTAAACTCATGTGGACTCTGGGCATGAAATCTGGGATCAAAAGAATCTGAAAAGTTGAGTGATCAAAGTCTCTTGATCATAGGAAACAGAGACGCCCTTCTCTTTCTTGGCTCTGATCTGACAGCCTTCATTTAAGGAAATATTGTAGGATCACTATACGCTTCAGCACTTCCCCATGAATGCATTAATAGTAATATAAACACTAGTAAATTTCAGGAGCAAACCTTCATGAAGAAGAAAAAAGAAGACAATGGAGAGTACTATACATTTCGGCGTAAAACTGAAGCCAGAATAGTCTTTAAAACTAAAAATAAAAAAAAAAAAGTGAACTCACTCTGTGCTTGTTTCTCGCTGAGCGCCGCCTTTCCGATGATGGTCCAGACAGGTCTGAGACAGCCGATGATTCCCTCGAACCAGTTGACCCTGTGACCGTCCCTGTACCTGACCTGGACCCCCGTGGGAGAGTCAGGACTCATGTCCTCGCAACCTTCCTGCTGCAGGCGAGGGCAGGGTTCCAGGGGCGTGGAGCGCTGTGAGTGGAGCTGCAGGTTGTGAAGCTCCTCCTCCATCCGCAGCATACTGGGGAAGCGAAGTTTACATATATCACTACTTATGGTAAACTCTTTCCTGTGGATATAATAGCTGTCTTGAAGCCTGGCTGTAAGGGTACTGTCCTAGCAGACGAAGGATCGAACCTCAATCACTCTTTGTGCTGAATAACTTACATATTCTTAACACTATATATAAATATATAAGTGCAAATGAAATACTAACTGTAAATGTAATACACCTAAATCCCTGGGGCTGCCTGGGCACCCTTGAACTGTGTTCCATGTAATGTGGGCCAGAGAGAGATGCATCATGATTTACACCTACAAAGTTCTGGAGGGACTGGTCCCAAAATTTGTAAACCGAAATTACTCCCTGCAAGAGCAAGAGGCTTGGCAGATAGTGCAAAATACCTCCACTGAAAAGCAAGGGTGCAGTGAACACACTAAGAGATGAGTCAAAACTGGTAAATGTTAAGGAACAAAGATTGTTAGGCACCCTCCCTTCAAAAGGAAACTGGATAGACTCCTGAAGTTAGCTCATCGGCTGGGCTGTGGTGCCTATGCTGAATTGCATGCAACTAGCACCACCAACAGCTTGACTGGTCAGACCATCAACTAGAAGGCTTGATCTGGGACTGGGCAGCAGGGGCGATCACCACCAGAACTGCCTTCATATTGTTTTTAATATAATAATAATAATCATAAATGCCAGAGCTGTATGGGCCATACAGGTTTACTGTTTGCTTTATAATAATAATAATAATAATAATAATAATAATAATAATAATAATAATAATAATAATAATAATAATAATAATAATCTGAACCTTATATCTTAGTATCCTTTCCAAGAGGTAACATAACGTCAGCACACGCTGATTTCTTAGTGCCACCCTTGAAGGGCCTTGCAAGGAGGAGGGAGGAATATTTGTTGCTGGTTATGGGCTGCAGCTAACACTCTGAGGTCTTCAGTGATTATCCTGGGATTACCATTTCCACGAATTTCTTGTTCTTGTTGGCTAGCAGAACCAAGCCTCCTCTGCCTCTCATCATATAGTATCCTCCTGTGGAAGACCGCATCCGTTATCACTTTCTTTATCTGGGTACCCGTGACTTCGATACGATAAGGCTCCGATGTTCGTAAAATTAGTAATTTATATTGCTGATCTTGGACGAGGTTTCATTTATGTACATATATGCTGTATTTTGATGTGTGTTCAGTCATTATAGTGTGAGGGAGATATTTACTGGGGAAGGGCAGAAGTGTAATACATTGAGTTTAGAGGAGATACAGTTTGAAGGAGGGTATGGGTGTGAGTGCTAAGCAAGACATATGTGCCTTTGAGAGCAGGAAGAGGAGGGTATAGGTGGAGTGGAAGGAAAAGAGGTGGATGGAGGGAGCGGGAAAGGGGGAGGGGGCCATGACAAATAAAAATGATAGATGGGAAGGGGTGCAAAGGATAGGAATTAGGGTGAAATCTGGCAGAGGTAGCAATAGGGGTAAAAATGGAAGGAATAGATATCGAGTGGGTGAGGATAGTAGTGGTGGTGGTGGTGGTGGTGGTGGTGGTGGTGGTGGTGGTGGTGGTGGTGGCGGTGGCGGTGGCGGTGGCGGTGGCGGTGGCGGTGGCGGCGGTGGCGGTGGCGGTGGCGGTGGCGGTGGCGGTGGCGGTGGCGGTGGCGGTGGCGGTGGTGGTGGAGTGTGTGCGTGTAATTACCTATATTTAGTTAAATTACCAGAGTTACGCTCATGGTGCCCCCCTTCATTTTTTTCATAATTAGTTTTAAACTTTGCCGCAATTTGCACAAACAACCTTCTCCTGGAGCACGTTCCACCCAGCAAACATAGTCGGTAAATGATTCCCGTAACTTTCTTGCCACCACCTTCGGCAATATGTAATAATAATAATAATAATAATAATAATAATAATAATAATAATAATAATAATAATAATAATAATAATAATAATAATAATAATAATAATAATAATTATTATTATTATTATTATTATTATTAATATTATTATTATTATTATTAAAGTATGGTTATGTAGAGCATTTCGGGTAACTTAGATTAATCTTCTCCCCCAGGATGCGCCCCAAAACAGTCGACTAACACCCAGGTACCTACTTACTGCTAGGTGAACAGGGGCAACAGGTGTAAGGAAACATGCACAACGTTTCCATCTGTGTCGGGGATCGATCCCGGACCCTCAGTGTGAGCTGAGGACGCTGTCAACCAAGCCACGAGCAACCACAAGAATGTGTTACCTAATAACGACAAAAGATGAGGAATAAGATACACGCAACACCTGCAGTACCATTATCGGAAGACGTATCAAATAAAGATACTGGACAGATGTTGCATACGTGTCTTATTTCTAAAAAAAAAAATGTATTTAGATACAATTACACAATCTTTGAATGACCACAATTGTCTTACGTTATAATATATGAGTAAATTACCTAGCATAATCGACACCATGCCTAACCCTTCTAGGGTAGGGTAGGTGCCTGAGCCCGAGCCTTTAGCTCATAAGACTGTCATTCCCATTTGCCCCCTTGGGGCGGGGATGGCAGACCAGAGAGGCCTAGCTTGTGGCTAGGCCTGGGGACAGTTGGTCCCAAAGATGAGGAGGTACTTGTGCCTCCTCCCATGGGAGACTTAGGTCTCAGACACTCCCTAAAGAGGGAGCCAAGGCCGGGCCACCACTTGGAAAAGGCCCGGGCCGGGAGAATACCGGCTAATCTTTAATAATAATAATAATACCTAGCATAACGTTCCCTTCCAGAAAAAAAACAGTCACTTATTTTCTCTTAGTTATTTGCACAAGTACATCATACAACGTATACAGACCATAGTTGATATGAGTGACATACTATATAGAAAGCTCCTAATTATGCAGAGCATTTCTGGCAAATTTGGTTAATTTTGCCACAGGATGCGACCCACACCAGTCGGCTAACACCCAGGTACCTATTTACTGCTAGGTGAACAGAAAGAGCAAGTGTCTTAAGGAAACACGCCCTAATGGTTCCACTCATACCGGGGATCGAACCACGGACCTCAGTGCATGAGCTGAGTGCGCTACCAACCGAGCTACGGGACACCTTAAATTTAACACTACCTCTTCTTCAACATTCTAAGATAGGTAAATTTGTGGTTCCAGCCATTCTTCATTGGTTTCCACTGTAATGTATATCTCTAGACTTAATACACACAGTAGCCACTTTGTTAGGTACACCTGTTCGCTACTGTAAATATCTTATCAGCCAATCACTTGGCAGCACCCCATTGCCTAGAAGCATGAAGACATAGTCAAGTTGTTCAGATGCTGCTGAGACCGAACATCTGAGTAGGGAAGTAATGTGATTAAAGTGATTTTGAGTGTTTAGTGTTGGTGCCAGACGGGATGGTTAGTGTATCTCAGAAACTGCTGCTCTCTGTGGATTTTTACGAATAAATATTCTTCATCTTGTCATCATTGTATGTCAGTATTGTGATGTTACTTTGGTTGTCAATGGTATGTTGCAGAAAGTGGTGTTAAAAATAGAGACCATCCAGTAAGAGGCATTTCAATGGGTAAAAACGACTTGATAACGAGAGGTCAGAGGAGACTGGTTCAGGCTGACAGGAAGGTGACAGTAACTCAAATAACCAGGCGTTACAACAGGGGTATGCAGAAGATCATATCTGAGTACACAACACGTTGAACCTTGAAGTGGATGGTCCTTTTGTGTTGTGTATCTTGTGTTCACTCTGAGTTATTCATTCTTTCCATATCAGAGCAGTTGGAATTTTCTCACCATTAAATAATATGTTAATAATAATAATAATTTAGTACATCTGCTCAATTTGCAAGTCTTCTTGTAAGTTTTTATTTATTTTGATTCTACATTTACCTGAAACATCGATTCATCTTGAGGTTCCTCAACCTGTATTCCCTGGAACGCAGGCGGGAGAGATACATGATTATATACACCTGGAAAATCCTAGAGGGACTAGTACCGAACTTGCACACGAAAATCACTCACTACGAAAGCAAAAGACTTGGCAGACGATGCAACATCCCCCCAATGAAAAGCAGGGGTGTCACTAGCACGTTAAGAGACCATACAATAAGTGTCAGGGGCCCGAGACTGTTCAACTGCCTCCCAGCATACATAAGGGGGATTACCAACAGACCCCTGGCAGTCTTCAAGCTGGCACTGGACAAGCACCTAAAGTCAGTTCCGGATCAGCCGGGCTGTGGCTCGTACGTTGGTTTGCGTGCAGCCAGCAGTAACAGCCTGGTTGATCAGGCTCTGATCCACCAGGAGACCTGGTCACAGACCGGGCCGCGGGGGCGTTGACCCCCGGAACTCTCTCCAGGTAAACTCCAGGTCATCTATACGATTTTAACACTTTCTCGCGAATATATTACTGCTAATATTATTACTGTTACTGCTGCTGCTACTACTACTACTACTACTACTACTACTACTACTACTACCACTACCACTACTACTACTACTACTACTACTACTACTACCACTACTACTACTACTACCACTACTACTACTACTACTACTACTACTACTACTGCCACTACTACTACCACTACTACTACTATTACTACTACTACTATTACTACTACTACTACTACTACTACTACCACTACTACTACTACTATTACTACTACTACTACTATTACTACTACTACTATTACTACTACTACTACCACTACTACTACTACTACTATTTACCACTACTACTACTACTACTACTAACCATACTACTACCACTACTACTACTACTATTACTAACTACTACTACTGCTATTTACTATTACTACTACACTACTACTGCTATCCCTATTACTACTACTACCATTATTACAAATACTACTACTACTACTATTACTACTACTACTACTACTATTACTACACTACTACAAATTACTATACTACTACTACTATTACTACTACTATTATACTACTACTACTACTATTACTACTACTACTACTACTATTACTACTACTACTATT